AAAGCACTACTTAAGAACAAAATTGGAGATTTTTAAGAAAAAAAATCTCAAAAATTGAGATCACTCCCTGATCTCAAAATTCACTGTACAATTAATGCAGAAAAGGCATTTGACAATACCCAACATCCGTTCTTGATAAAGATACTCAACAAAGTAGAAACAGGAGGAACCCTCAACATAATTAAGAGCATATATACAAAAACAGGAAGGAGCTCTGGTAGCGTAGTGGTTACGAATTGGGCTGTGAACCGCAAGGTCAACAGTTCGAAACTACCAGCGGTTCTGCGGGAGAAAGGTGAGACATTCTGCTCCCATAAAGATTTACAGCCTCGGAAACCCTGTGCAGGGTCGCTATGAGTCGGAACTGACTCCACGGCACTTAACAACAACAACATACAAAAACAGGAGTCCTGGTGTGGTGCTGTGGGTTAATGCGCCAGACTGCAAAGCCATTTGAACGGCAAGGAGCTCTGGTAGCGTAGTGGTTACGAATTGGGCTGCGAACCTTAAGGTCAGCGGTTCGAAACTACCAGCCGCTCAGCGGGAGAAAGATGAGGCTTTCTACTCCCGTAAAGATTTACACCCTCGGAAACCCTGTACAGGGTCTCTATGGGTCGGAACCGACTCGATGGCACCTAACAACAACAACATCAACACTCATGGAAGCAACAGTGAAAAAATCAAACCAAGTATTGCATTAGGCAAATCTGATGCACAAGACCTCTTTAAAGTATTCAAGAGCAAAGATGTCAGTTTGAGGACTAAGGTGTGCCTGATCCAAGCCATGATTTTTTTTCAAAAGCTTCATATATATGTGGAAGTTGGATAATGAATAAGGAAGACCGTAGAAGAGTTGATGCATTTGAGTTATGGTGTCGGAGAAGAGTATTGAAAGTGCCATAAACTGCCAAAAGAACAAACAAATATGTGTTAGAAGAAGTACAGCTAGAATGTTCATACTTTGAACATATTGTCAGGAGGGACCAGTCTGTTTGGTAAAGTGGAAGATCCTTGAAAAAGTGGAAGACCCCCAGTGAGCTGGATTTGCACAGTGGTAGCAGTAATGGACTAAAGCAAAGCAAGGGCTGTGAGGATACCACAGAACCAGGCGATTGTTTTGTTCTGCTGTGCATATAGTCACCATGAGTCAGAACTGACTACAGCACCTAAAAACAACAACAACAGAGAAGTACCCAAAGGCACTCAGGGTGGAAATTGGTGGTTAATAGGCTGTGTTTTCCCAAGTTATGTTTCACTGAAGAAGAAGCTACAATGAGCCTGGGTATAAACACTTCATCAGCTACTTCCCCAGCAAGGCTATATATAACCTTTTGCTTTTTATCCAGTTAACACTAGAGCTTTTACTTTTGTTTGTTTTGTTTTATGCCTTTCACTTTTGGATAAAAATACAAAACACACCTAGCATTTGAAAAGAAGCAGATTTCATGCCTCAGGACTGTTTGGCATGTATTTCACCAAAACAAAAAAATGTTTCATTCAGTTTCAGTCCGTTTGAGTGTGTGCACATGGATGTGTGTGTGTGCATGTGCCTTCAGATGCTAGGTTCATTTCATTTACAAAATGGAACCATGAGGTATAATAAGCATGACTGAAAAATAATACCTTCCAATCAAACATTCATTCACCTGGGCTTTATTGTCAGTGAATGCAGTACACAACAGTTCTGGCTGAGAGCTCATGAACCTAGCATCTCTGCCCCAGAATCCTATTTACTATCAATGCATTAATAGAAATAAAGCTAGAGCTTATTGAAGACCTTTGAAAGACAGAATAGAGAGAGGGTTATGTTACGGACAAAAGTAGGCCAGACTCAAAAAGCCAAATAGGCCCTTTTTTAAAATCTGGTGTATTGTTTGATGAATTCAGATTAACTATGGAACAAACTCCTAAAATATTATAGCCATGTACAAGAAAGGTCGATGTAAATCTGATAATCCAACAATAATATTAAAAATTATGGGGAAAGGCTCAATGGTTCCCTTTTTAACATCTCATATTTTCAATAGCTTGACAAATAATAAACATATTCTTATTAAACAGTCCTTTTTCAACAAACAAGGATCCTGGGTTAAGTGTTGGGCTTCTAATTACAAGACCAGTGGTTCAAACTTTCCAGCCGCTCCTTGGGAGAAAGATGAGGCTGTCTGCACCTGTAAAGATTTACAGTTTCAGAAACCCTAACGAGGAGTTCAATTTTGTCCTATAAGGCCACTATGAGTTGGCACCAATATGGTGGCAGGTTTTCCCCAAAAACTGAGCTTTTAACTATGTAGTTTCATTTTAGGTACATATATTCACTGTTCCAAATAGATCCTTGTTTTAGGTCAGCTTCCCTAGAAACAGAGCAGGATGGGGATTTTTTAGTATATTCTACTTTGTGGGGTGGGGAGAGTAAGAAAGAGAGAGAAAAAAAGTAACAGGACATGTGAGGGGTAAAAACAGGGATGTGATCCTGGTTGTATCACTGTAGGGCACACCTTACACCACAGAGCTGTCACAACTAGAGGCCAGCTGTGAGCCCTTCACATCTGCCTGGGGATGATGTGAGGGATGTCACACCAATAACATCCACTCCAGCAGCTACACTAATAGCACTGAATTTCTAGGAGCCATGCAACAAGGCATCCCAACATTGGTCTCATAAAGGACATTATAACAACCTTCAGCCTCTCACATGACCTCCTAGATGTCCATTTCCTTGCCTGTAAGTCAGGGGTTGGAAATGGCTGATGGCACCTAACAATATCAGTCTCGTTTAGATGACACCTATACCCTTAACTTTGAAATACAATTATTTCAACAAGGAAAGAAAGGGGTTTGTAAGGAATAATTGATGTTTTTACCATACATAGAAAAGAATTAATTGATGCAAATGTACCCCTGAATGATAGCTCCAATAAAAATTCTTCTCTCACCTGGAATAACTCTGGAAACACCAGCAAATCTAAGAAAACTAGCAGTAAAGTTGTCTTGAAGGTGTATAGCATAAAATGTATGGCCAGACTCCGTCTTCAAACCAAGTGCTTTTGTGGCAGTTTGCTTCAAGAGAGAACTAATGCAACCAGGCAACCTCATTTAACCAACAACTGCTGAAGCAAAGTGAATTAGAGGCAAGAGGCTCGAGTAAAGCATAAGCCAGAGGCTGTTCATACAAAATAGTACAGCTACTCTCAAGAGCAGTTTGGCAAAAAGGTACCAAAAGTATTAATACATTTATTGTTTTACCATACAGACCTCCTGCTGGAAGTTTTTTATAGGCATAGCTGTACCTGAAATGACATTTATGTAAGTTTATTCACTGTACCACTTTTATTGAAATAGTCAAAGACTGGAAAGAACTCAAGGTTGCATCAGCAAAGGACTAGTTGAAAACAACAACTCTGGTACCAGCCTTTCAGTACAATATTGTGCAGTCCAAAACATCCTGTACTGAAGTGGAAAGTTCTCCAGTATATGTTTTGATAAGTGAAAAAGCAAGGAGAATAACACTGTTATTTTACAATAGAATATAAATTATAAACATGTATATATGCATGTGTAACATATGTTTCTGGTGTGGCACTGTAGGATAAGGGTCTGAGGATCACTATAAGTCAGAATTGACTCAACAGCACTTAACAACAACATTTTGTGTAAGAAATGGAAATAATAAGAATATATATTTGTATTCACGTGTACCCCTGTATAACTGGAAGGGTGTGTGTGTGTGTGTGTGTGTGTGTGTGTGTGTGTGTGTGTATCTAGAAGGATAGATAAGAAAGTTCTATAAGTGGTATCCTGTAAGGAATAAGACTGTGGGAAGACAGAATGGATAGAGACATAGGTGGGAATACGAATTCTACCAAATACCTTTTATAAGTTTTTCAACCACCATGGGCTACTCTAAAAAGAAAATGGAGCCTCTGTGTTTGAAAATTCAAATGAAACTGTAAAAGGCAGACATCAAAGCTGGTTGCTTCAGGGTCCAATATGTCATACTTTGGTTCACGGTTTGGTAAACTGTAGACAGTGAGCCATATTTGCAACCAGCTTTTTTTGTTGCTGTTTAACATTTTATTGTGTGAAATTTTACAGAGAAAATTAGTTTTACTTTCAATAATTTATACTTATTTTGTTTTGAGGCATTTGTCCTTGTATCCTGCCGCTTCCTGCCTTCTGAACTTTGTTTTGGACAAATGCCCTTTTGGTCTTCTGTACTTGATTGTTCTAAGAAGTACATTTCTCACCAGTGTTACTATTCACTTAATGGGCCTGTCTGTTGTTTGACTGAAGGGTGATTCCCCCAGGGGTGAGTTCAGTTCTAGGTTTGAAGGACGTCTAAGAGCCATAGTCTCTATCAGACCAGCTAAAGTGGTTTTTTTATCATTTTAAATTTTATTCTGCATTTGTCTCCTTTTCAGTCTCTATGCTGTCTGCTTTTTATAAATAAAAGTTTTACTGGAACACAGGGTCGCTATGGGTCGGAACCGACTCGACGGCACGTAACAACAACAACAACAAAGTCTCTCCCATTATTTACATATTGTCTGTAGCTACTTTCATTTTACTACAATGACAGAGTTAAGTAGCTATAACAGGAGGAAAAGCTGAAAGTATTTACTATCTGGCTCTTTACAGAAAACATTCGCCAAACCAGCTTTAAACTATAGATTTGTTCTATAAAATATCTGTGACCACACCTAATAGTGAGCTCCAGGTGTTTTGACTCCTTAAAGTCAGCTTCTGTGTCCACAAATAGGTGGCAGGTAGAAGACTACAGTGGTGGAAGAGAGTCAGCCGGCCCAAATTTGAAGCTGAATTTTTCCCTCATTACTATGTGACAGTGGGCAACTTAACATCTCTATTTATCAGCTTCTTCATCTACAAAATGAGGACAATACTTAGAAGGTTAAGCTTGTTCATAATAACACTGGGTTTAGCACAATACCTGTTAGTTGTTACTATTATCATCTAATATTGTGATTTTTTTAAAAAAACAGGGTGATGACCAGTTAAATATATTTGGAGAAGATACTATGGGAGGTGAGTTTTCTTTACTTATTCACACCAAATTTGTCACTATAGTAGCTTTGAGCATATCTTTTTTATTATCAAATATCAGCTAAGATATGATGAAATACCAATACCAAATACTTTCTCTATAGCCAGGGAATGTGATTAAGATGGGAACTCTTTGGATCTCTCCCTTCTTGATCCTTGTAAAGACACAAAGGGATATATTACTAAGGGAGGCATTCCTTAGCTGTGCCCACAGAACATAACTCCTGAGATGCTCGGTGAAAAAGAAATGCTGTGGTCAAATACATTTGGAAAACACCTAACACTTTATTCCCTGTCAAAAATTCACATGTATACATACATATCCAGGCTCCAAGAAGTCCTGCTTAAAGAGCTATTTAACTTTAATTCAGCATTCTTCAAATTTATTGGAACACAAAATTATTTCTCTTGCATAGTAGTTACTAGTCTGCAGAAATTGTATGCTAGTTAAACACTAAGAAACACCAGGAGTGTGCTACTTTGAAATTTTGTCATATGAAAATTCTTCCCAAAACTAAAAAGCTAGCTATTCAAATAACTCAAAATAGATGAGATTATGAGACCTGGGACTGTCCAAAAAATATTAGTTGTATGATTGCCATAGGTCCTGTGGCTTAAGTATTTTCTAACATTTCCTCTCTGTAATAACTATTGCTATAGTTATGATCCATAGAGATATGTTTGCAGTATTGACTGTGAATGCACACAAGTGAGTTGGCTGTTTAAATAAATCCAGCTCTAATCTTGTACTGATCCATGAGTGTGAAGTGATAGATAAATGGTCATTTGATGATAATGACAATAGTAGTAGGTTGAAATCACCGTCACCAAATGGTATTTATGGTGATTCATGGTCCATGGTACATAAACATGAGCCATAACTTAGTTGTCACTTAGTCAAGTACAAACGATCAACTCAGTTCCAACTCTGTAAGGGACGAGTGATTGCCTAATAAAGGTTCCTTTTCTCCTGTTTGTAAAATTAGCACATATTCTTGTGGAAATTTTTTTTAAGTAAAAAATAAAAGTAATCTAAAACCTTATAACCTATAAATAATCATAGTTAACATTCAGTGAGTTGTCTATATATTAATTTTACATAGTTGAAAATATGAGGGGGCTTCAAAACGTTTGTGAAAAATTCCATTATCTTTTAATTCTATTATTTTCCACAAATTTTGGAAGCCCCTCATATATGTGTTTATATGAATATTATCTCTAATTTTTGTGCATATTGTAACATAAGCATGTTCCCATGTCATTAAAAACTATAAACTTGATTTATAATGATAGGGAGTTCTGGTGTGGTACTGTGGGCTAACGTGTCAGACAGCAAAGTCGTTTGAACTGCAAGGTTGGTGGTTCAAGCTCACCAGCTGCTCCTTGGAAACCCTATACAGATCTCTATGGGTCAGAATAGATTTGACTTAACAACAACAGCAACATTATATTAATGTACCATCATTAACTAAAAAACAACTATTCCTTATATTTGGGTAAGAACTGGACCACAAGGTCGGTTTGAACTAAAAGTCATCAGTTCAAAATTATCAGCCATTCCTCAGACCCCTATAAGGGCCACTATGATTTGGAACTGACTCCATGGCACTTAACAACAACAACATAGCCATACCAAAAAATAAAATAATAGCAACCATGCCCCTTTTCTAGATTGAAAATAGATAAAAAGTGCTCAACTTTGTAAAAGTAAACTCACAGACTGCAAAATGTGAGCTGACCCTCCGGTCCCACGTGTAAGAAGCACCAATGAAGCTAACTTTCACAGAAATCTTCAAACAACATGGGATCTTTCTCACCACTGGGCTACTCTGTAAAGAGAATGGAGCATCTGTTTGATTCAAAAGAACAAAGAAATGCATCCTTCGATGTGAAAAACAAATTGTTCCCAAAATACCAAACTCAGTTTTTTCACTTCCAGAATGTTCTTCCCTCTCTCTTCCCCTCTATCACTATCCCATCTTCTTCATGTTCCATTCTTTCGGTCTGATGGAGTTGGGCCTTTCACTCTACTAACAGTAAAATCATTACTATTATTAAATAATAAAAATGTAGCACTGTGTATATAAATGCCATGTTCTCCACACCCCATTTCCACTAAAATCAATACATGATTTACCTGTCAAAAGTAATCATCCACATAAAATATGATGTGTCAGCCACAATCTTACTAGTTCATTTTAAATGTAAAAATTAGCAATTTTGTCACCAAGATGGAAAATTCAAGTCATCTAATGCAAGTCATTTGAACTGTAAGGTCAGTGGTTCAAGCTCACCAGCTGCTCCTTTGAAACCCTATACAGGGTCACTATACAGGGTCATTCGGAATCAACTCGACTGCACTTCTCAACAACAACAATACTACCTTATCCAACTAATCACACCCACTCATCATTTTAGTTGACTCACACTTGTAGAATGGGCTAAAGCAGCCACTTTCAGAACCAGAAAAAGGTCCAGAGATCCTTATGGACTAGGAAGTCAGGAACTGACTGCACTCAGCCCTGCTTCTCCATCTGAGTTCTCTAGGCTTAGAATGCTACTCAGAAAACCTCAGCAACCCAGGCAGGTAATTCACATCGCAGGGCCCATGGGTTCCAACAAAAAACAAGTACCTTTGAACTCTCTCATATTTTTACTTTAAAACTTCATGCAAAAATGTGTATTTAATCCATAAAAAAAAAAAACAAAACTTCATGTATTCTGAATTTTAAAATGTCTCCATAGTATAGGTGTTAACAAGAATAATAAAATATTCAAAAATACCTTCAATTACTCTGTCAGCAATTAACATCTGTCTCACTGAGAGGAGAATTCAGCCTCAGATTCAGTTTGGCCAGCATGGTACATTGGCCAGCTTTTGTGTCTTAACTCTTGTTATCCACATCCACACCACTCCAAGCCCTTCCACTTAACTCATTTTTTTAAAGCAGAGTTAAACTCATTATTTCTAGCTTTAGGTTTTAGCCTGAAACTCTTTTTGGAAGCCACCACAGTACTTATTTGTGAAATCTGCCTGCCCTAGCCAGCTGAAGATAAATGCAGACCTGGTAAGATTCCCTGACAGACCAGGGCCAACCCTTTAAGCTTTCCACCATCCTCAGTTACTCATGATGGTTCCCTAGCACTTTCCTATTTGGTTTCTGGGATTCCAATTCTGAACTTCACAGCATCCTAAATCAACCAGCAACTGTGTTCTTCATCTAAGCAAAAACTTGGTCACTAGGGCAAAAAGTCTGACACCTGCCAAGGTAAGTTGGCAGTTCATTAATGCTCATTGTTACAGCTGGTAAACACTTGAGTACATATAAAATATAATCTTTATAAATAACACCTATAGCTTTTAAACAAGAGTGATAGTCTCTTTCTCCTGTGTCTGGGACCCTCACTCGAAACGTCCTTTTTTTAATTTTTAATTTTTTTTTTTTCTTAGTTTAAGGATTTCCTGCTTCTGGACTTAAGTAGTAACCACTAGCATTTTCTGAGTCCAGAAACCTGAGCATACAGGGTCATTCCCAGCTCAGATTTCTTTCTAGACTGATCTCTTCAGCCAACCTCCACCCTCTCTCCAGGACTTTTAGAATTGTGGTATACTTGGGAGTTTATCTGCAATATACAACAACAATAATAGTGCCATGATCTTGGTCGAGGAATAAAGAGGGTCATTTCTTCCTGTGGCTCGTTCATTTACTGGAGTCATAGAATCATAGCTATTTGAACAAAGAGAGATTGTTGGACCCACATACTTCATTTCACAGAGAGATACTAAGTATAAGACAAGATGTTACTTACCTTTGTCAAGCTAATTGGCAAGAGGACCAAATGTAAGTCTTTCCTGCCCAACCCCCTCAGGACTTCCTACTACACTGCATAGCAAATAGAAGTTGTTTGTTGTTGTTAAGTGCCTTTGAGTTTGTTCTGACTCAACTTGTATGCTGAGCAAATAATACGAAAAGCTGGGCATGAAGAAAAAACGTGGCATCAGGATTGGAGGCAGACTCATTAACAACCTGTAATATGCAGATGGTACAACCTTGCTGGCTGAGAGTGAAGAGGACTTACAATATTTACTGATGAAGATCAAAGACCTCAGCCTTCGGTATGGATTGCATCTCAATGTAAAGAAAACAAAAATCCTCACCACTGAACCAATAAACAACATTCTTATCAAACGGATAAAAGAGTGAAGTTGTCAAGGACTTCATTCTTCTTGGATCGACTATCAACACTCATGAAAGCAGCAGTCAAGAAATCAAAGAATGTATTGCATTAGGCAAATCTGCTTCACAAGACCTTTTTAAAGTGTTGAAAAGCAAAGATGGCAGCTTGAGGACTAAGGTGCGCCTGACCCAAGCCATGGTCTTTTCAATAACCTTATATGCATGCGAAAGCTGGACAGTGAATAAGGAAGACCATAGATGAATTGATGCATTTGAGTTATGGTGTTGGAGGAAAATATTACAAGTGCCATAGGCTGCCAAAAAACAAACAGATATGTGCTGGAAGAAGTACAGCCAGAGTGCTCCTTGGAAACCAGGATGGCCAAACTTCGTCTCTCATACTTCGGACATATTGTCAACAGTGACCAGTTGCTAGAGAAGGCTATCATATTTGGTAAGGTGGAGGGTCAGAGATAAAGAGGAAGACCCCCAACGAAATGGATTGGCCAAGTGGCAACACCAATAGGCTCAAACATGGCAACAGTTGTGAGGTTGGCCCAGGACCGGGAAGTGTTTCGTTCTGTTGTACACAGGATCGCTATGAGTCGTTACCAACTCGATGGCACCTAACAACAGCAACAACGTAACAAACCTGGATAAGGTTTCCAAGGAACAGTTTTTGGGATTGAACCACCAACCTTTGGTTACCAGTCCAATACTTATCCTACAGCGCCACACCAGAAGTTTTTATTGTTGTTGTAAAGTGTCATCAAGTCACTTCCAACACACAGCAACCCTGTATAGGGCTTCAAAGGAGCAGCTGGTGAGTTTGAGCCACTGACCTTGTGATTCAATCTGAACTTGCGGTCAAGTGCTTTATCCGACAGCGCCACACCAGGATTCCAGAAGTTGTTTAGGGCACTGCAAACCCCAGAGGGTTTCCTGCTTGGCTTAAAATCCTGACATGAATCATTCTTTAGCCATAAAGCAGTGCTTCCCAAAAGTCAGTCTTTGCTGGACACCTTCATGATTTTTGTTTTATCTCTATGTGTGCCACCTAAGTGTATGTTGGAGTCTTGATGTGCCACTATAGGATAAGCACTGGACTACTAACTGCAAGGTTAATGGTTCAAATCCACCAGTCACTCCTTAGAAACCCTATACAGGTCTACTATGAGTCAGAACTGACACAACAGCATTTAACAAACTATCTATTTTCTTAATTTTTTTCTTTAAATTGACCCTCTGTTCTTACTTAACACGTATTTTAAAGAAAATTTTTATTACTACCATAAATTATAAAATAGCATTGTTTACTGTAAGTATACATTATTAAGGAAATATATTGTCTTCCAGACTCTTGTGTTTTGACTCCTCTACAGGAGATAGATTAACAAATGTTAAAAACGTGAAACAGCAGGGAAAATGCAGAACAGAATTGCAAATTTTCATGAACCACAGACTTCCTGGAACCATGAAGTTTGGATGAAATCCAGAAACTATTACCCTAAGATAATCTTTAAACCTTAAACTGAAAATATCCCCTGAAGCTTTCTGAAAATCAAACAGTAATTTAGCTTAACTAGTAAAAAATGTTTGCCTTGAGCATTATTCACCAGTTAGAACCATCTATCTGGGATCAAATTGACAACAGCAATTTGAAAGATTACACAGACACCTTAGGGGGCAGAGAATTCATGTGAATAGAGGAGGAATAACTCAGAAACGGAGAATGAAAATAGTTGTACAACTGCAAAAATGTAATTCGTGTCATGAAATTGTACATGTAAAAAATTTAATTGATGAATGTTTTGCTATGTATGTTCTCAAAAATAACAAAATGAATAAAATTTAAAAAGAAGAAGAAATGTGAATTAACATCAAACTGAGACACTTAGGAAAATGAAAAAAACTATTTTACAAATCGGCTTTCTTGCTTTGTGAGTCAATGTGTTTAATGACTTACCCGTTTTACCACCTAAAATTAGTAGTCTGTGTTAATATGAAAGTTTATGACCTGGGAATGGAAATAAGGTCAAAATGGTCAGCAAAAACAAGCCCAAATCCACTGCCCAAATCAAGTCAATTCTGACTCATAGCAGCAGGGTTTCTGAGGAAATCTTTACAGGAGTGGAAAGCCACCTCTTTCTCCCACAGAGTAACTGGTAGATTCGAACTGCTGACCTTATGGTTAACATTACAGTGCACAACCCACTACATTAAATGGTCTCCTTAAATGGTCAACAGTACCTAATAGCACATATCCTCAGCTTTAAGCTTCTTACCAAATAAAATACAAGACCGGATTTTTGCATGAGTAAAACCAAGGCTTTGATGCAGTGTTTCTTGCTGATAACATGAATTATTCTTATTTTAAAGGTGTTTTGGAAGATTTGAAGAAGTGTAAAATTATCTTCATGATTGGTGAGTAACAGTCCTCTAATTTTCTAATGCAATTGATAATCATAATTCCGGAGGGACAAAAGACTATATATTTATCACTCTGCTTTAAAGTCTTGTTCCTTTATGATCAGAATAATACATCCTAGGCTTCTAGATTGTAGCTTTTATTTACGCAGTTTTATATTGCTTTTGCTTTGTATCTTTGTTGCAGATAAACACTGTGACTCTAAAGAATATCAAACAGCTAAGTTTAGGCCTACAATAATAATAAAGTATATTACCAGGATGGGTCAAAATTTATCTGCACTTTGTTTACAATAAAACCCCCTGTCCACGTCCATGGTTGATGACAACAGCGACCAATCACGTGAAATGATTCTATAGAACAGATGAGTGATAGTGGATTGTGTGGCAAATGATTTGCAAATTAGACATGGTTCTGCCTACGAAATAATCCCCAACAGAGTTGGGTTTTGAAAAGTTTGTGAGATGGGTACCGAAACAACTTTGGACATCTGCAAACAAAATTTGGACCAATACTTGAAGGAAGGTAAAAGTTGCTTTTTAAAAATCATTACTGGTAGTGAGATTTGGCTTTATCACTTGGAACCTGAGAGTGAACAACAGAGTGCAGAATGGAAACATCCTCAATCACCAACCAAGAAAAAACTAAAGAGTCAACCATCAGCTGGAAAATTGATACAGTTTTCTGGGATTTTTAAGGACCAGTACTGGAACACTATCAGGAAAAAGGTTCAACAATCAACAGTGCTTATTACAGTGAGATACTCACTGAAAGCTGAAGCCTAAATTTGGGAATAAATGCAGAGGACTGCTTTCCAAGGACTTTGTGATATTGCATGACAATGCAGGTCTGCACACCTCTGCCCACACTGTTGACACTCTGCAAAAACTTAATTTTGAGATGTTAAAGCATCCTCCTTATAGTCCTGATCTTGCTTCATCAGACTTTCGCCTGTTTGGTCCCCTGAAAGCAGCCTTTCAAGTATGAAGATTCTCCTCTGATGAAGAAGTGAAGACTGGTGCATTTGCAGCTCACAGCTCAGCCTAAAATATATTTTAATAAGGGAATAATAAGCTGTTGACAGATGGGCAAAGTATACTGAAAAGCAAGGAGAGTATGTCAAAAAATGATGCATTTTTACAAAACAGACTAAATGCTTTAGAGAAAGGAAGATCGCT